ATGGCCAACCTGCCTGCCTGAAAAGCCCAGGCTGTGCCCCAGGGGTCAGCAAGGGTCCACCTGAGGGAGGGGCTGGCCGAAGAAGCCTGGCTTCCCGAGAGCATTAGCAATGGCAACAGGCCTGTCCGGCCTACAGAGGGCGCTGTACATAGTGAGTCTTCAGCACAGAGGCTGCCTCACCTTGGCAGCCAGCCTTGTCCAGTCTCCCCTTGCTTCTGTCCCTCTACCCTCCTCAGTCACCACCTTTGAGTCTGACCCTGCAATTCCAGAGGCTTTCCCAGGTCCTCTCACCCCAACTGGAGGGAGAGGAATAGAAGGGGGAAAAGACTGCTAAGGGAAAGTTCTGGCCCTGTCTTCCAGATAGGAGGAGCCTGCCTGCACTGAGCAGGTCAGAACAGACCCTACGGAAGCACAGGGACCTACCGGCTAGGCTCCTGCCCAAGGCCACCAGCACTGCCAGTGACAAACACACATAGATGATCAGCAGCCATGCTCACACTCACTCATACAGGGGGCAGGAGGCTGCAGCGGGCTGTCCCTCTTATTCAGAGCCCCTGCTTGTACCTTATGTTCAGACACAGGCTGCCCTCCCAGTCTCAGTGACTGTGAGCAGGACTTCTGGAACTTCTCCAAGTACACAGACGTGAAGCTGGGCAACCCAATGAACTGGGGCCACACTCCGTCTTGCAGGATGCCAGGTAGTGGGAAGCTATATGAATTAGTAAGTCCTCTTCAGATACCAAAGACAGAAAAAGAGTGCAAAATGGTTTAAAAAGAGAGAGAAATAAATGTATTGATTCAAATAAATAAAAAAGCCAAGGATATAGCTGTTTGCGTCAGAGACCTAAAATTGGGAACCTGGTGGTCCATCTTAGCTCTGATTCCTCAGTGGCATCATTATTCTTGGACTCTCCTCTCCAGGCCTCCAGAAACTCCACACTGCATCCTCTCAGCTCAGCAACCTTGTAGACAGAGAGCCCTTCGTTTCCAAAACTGCCAGCCACAGCTGCTGTTGCAGGTTCTGCTTTCTCCAAACGCAGCACAGTGGTCAGGATGTGACTCAAGGCCACCCCCTAGAGCAGGAGAAGGTGGTCCAATACAGACCTGGCTCAAAGCACTCTTTGGATGAAGTTCTCTGGGCTTAACCTTCGCAAACATGTACATACACCATTGTAATCTGGTCTTTTGCACATGTACAGCGTGCTTTATTTGGCATGCACTTCCTCACCTTTTATCACCTATTTGAAATGTCTGCTCTTCTGAGAAGCCTGTCTTCACACTTGCCGGTTGTGTTAAGCATTGTTCTTCTGCCTTTACCAAGCTGCCTGATGTTGGCCTGGTTTGCAAGTCAACCTCTTTCACCCAGGCTCTGAGCTTCCCTTAGTTTCCTGGACACTGAGCAAGTGCTTGGGGCAGCTTTGCTGTAAGTGTGAGCAGGTGTAAGAAGAAACCAGTGGCCGCATCAGCCTCCGATGAACTCAGAGCGGGGTTGCAGGGGAGAGGCAGGACTGAAGGGCTGGCTCTCCTGGGCCTGCTGTTTCAGCCTGTGAGTGTGCACATGTGCAACAGGACATGTGATGCTGTGGCCATCAATTTTCTTTCCTTTTCATTTTATTGTGAATTGGGTGCAGGTTTACAGAGCAGATTAGTTTTCCATTCAACAATTCTTACACATTTTGTTTCATCTCATTGACTGCAGGTCCCACAAGGAAATAAGCATCTCATATCCCACTTCCTCCCTGTGTTTCCTGTTTCCATTCCTCCTTCCTTCCTAACCCTTCTGAACTTTGCCTGTAATTCCACCATTTGAGATTCACTCCTTTGGCTTAGTTTAGTTTGTCAAATGGTATTTTGAAATACTTGTATCCCCTGGACCTCTTATATGGGAGCGGCCCAGTTCCTTCCCAAAGCTGGACTGAATTGTATGATGATGGGGTAAAAAGGGACATGGGAGAAATCTGGTTCCTCACTAACCTCTGGTTCTCAGGTGTTGCCCCCACCTCCCCTCTGCTTTCCTGCTCCTATCCACAGAGTCTTGCTCACATTTCTTGCTGATGGAGTAGCCCAAACTCTAGCCCATACACACGTGAGATGGCACTGTGACCCCACCACCTGCTATCTTAGGGGCCACTCTCACAGAGTGTGTTTTCCTCTGTAAAATGGGCATAAAGGGCCTGTTGTGTGTGTTGGTAAAAGGCAGTGCATGTGTGTGACCACTGGCACTCAGTGCAGGTGAGGGCACAGCTGTGATCTCAGCCCTGAGCAGAGGACATATCTAGAGAGGCTTTTGAGAGGTGTCTGGAAGGCATCCAGGGCTCTGTTGGCATCCAGGGTCCTGGGTGCCCACATTAGCAGACACTGCACACTAAACTGACCTGTCACTAAGAAGAGAAGGGGAGGAGGAGCTGGCACATGTGCGCCCAATGGGCACCAGAGACTGAATCCTGGCCGGGCCATGCTGCTCAGTGAGAAGAGGCAGGGTTAGAAGAGGAGCCAGCCTTTCTCGGAAAAGTTTCCAGAATCCAGGTCTGCTGTGCATCTGCAAAGAAGAGCCTGTTTGGCATCATATTGCTGCATGGACCTCCCCTGAGAGACAGGCCATGGCATTGTGTGATGTGTACCCAGTCTCACCCACTGAAGGTGAAGAGTCCACCACTAGCCACCAGTGTCCTACCTTACAGGTACACTGGCCTCTAAAAGTGGCCTGTGGATGAGAATGTCTTGACGTGTGGCTGAACTGGCTCTCTCATGCCCAGTTCAGTGTCTGACATGAGACATGCGTCCACCTATGGATTCAGAAAGTGTGGTGTGTCCATATAGGATGCAGTTCTTTACCAGGGATGCTCAGTCAGACCCTGGAAGATGGAGTAGCAGGAAGCAGGTACTCATGTCTGGGGAAGGGGCTTCTGAAGAGAATGGACCTCAAGGAATAAAAAGAAATCTTCCTGGTGAAGTATCTATCCAGGAAGGCATCCGAAGCCAAGTCCTGGCATAGACAAAAGTACAAACGCATGAAAGAGGCCCGCAGCGTCACTGAACAACCACATCCGGGGCAGCACATCTGCCACAAAAACCTAGAAAGTATCATAGCAACATGCTGCGTGCAAGTGGGGAGTTGGGAGTACCCTAGATGTTAAGACATCTGGATGTCACCTGTTCAGGTTCTGTTTTGACTGATGTACTAATGGGTGAAATTAGTAATTGTCTTGGGTTTGCTCTAGGCCTGGAACAAATCATTCCCTCTCTGATGTAACTGGTTCAAACAGTGTCCTTCCACACAGATGAGAGGACATTTGGTTACTGATTAGCTATTTGACAGCTTCTGAACCGTTGTGGGGTTTGCCCTCCAAGGGTGGCACTAATGCTTTGATACTAGCCTGCTAGGTCTCCAGCATGGTTTGAAGGACTTTCATCATCATGTTAACCTTGTGACGTCAACACTACTGATGGTGGTGGTGATGTGCCGTGGAGTCGGTTCTGACTCAGAGCAACCCTGCATAGGGTTTCCGGCATTGTAAACCTTTACGGAAGCAGAAAGCCTTCTCTTTCTTCTGCAGAACCACTGATAGTTTTGAACTGCTGACCGTGAGATTAGCAGCCCGTCTCATAACTACTATACTACCAGGGTTCCTTAGGCACTACTGTTATTGTTAAGTGCCGTTCAGTTGGTTCCGACCCATAGCAACCCTGTATAGGGTTTCCAAGGAGCAGCTGGTGAGCTTGAACCACCGACCTTGTGATTTAAATTGACTTTGCAGTCTGACACATTAACCCACAGCGCCACACCAAGAACTACTAGCATTCCCATTTTACAGATAGGGAAACTGGAGCTTGGAGAGTTACAATACTTTCTCAGTGAGACTCAGCTGGTAAAGAATGGGTTTCTCATTTAAACTCATGTGATTCTAAAGGCCATAGCGTAGTGGTTACGAATCGGGCTGCGAACCTTAAGGTCAGCGGTTCGAAACTATCAGCCACTCCCCGGGAGAAAGATGAGGCTTTCTACTCCCGTAAAGATTTACACCCTCGGAAACCCTGTACAGGGTCGCTATGGGTCGGAACCGACTCGACGGCACTTAACAACAACAACATGTAAAATTACAGAGACACTATTTTTTGAAAAACTGAAGATTAATATGGTTTCTAATGACTTAACTGTGACTTCTCCAAAATGTCTGATTTTTCTCTAACGAGTGAGTTTTCTGAGTTGAGGGCCTGGTGTGAAAGCCCCTTGAGCTGTCTTGAGGGGAGCCGGCCCCTCCTAAGTGAGCAGGTCACTACCACACCAGTCCAAGCCTGGCACAACTGAATGTCAGTGGAGTCTGAGAACAAGGGACTACTAGCGTCAGAAAGAATTCCAGGCTAGAATGGCTGCAACGGTTGGTATTTCAGAAATTTTGTTACATCTTATCCTCTCAATGTTGTCTTGAATGCTAATCTCTCCCTTCACAGCTGACCCTGTGGCTGCCCACTTCACACCAGTGACTGCCCAACCGAACAAGCAGCTCCATTTGCATCTCCCGACTTCTCTCTTTTTTTCATTCTCATTCTCAGGAACATGTGCTCTTTGTATCTTAACGCGGGTGTTCCTATTTGCAAGTTCTGGTTTTCATACGTGTTTATAGAATCCATTCATTTGGTCACTTAAGACATATCTAAGAAGCAGCCCTTCACTGTTCCCAGCCCTAGGTGGCATGGGGGGAGGCACAAGTGGTGACAACACACAGCAGCCTTGTGTGTGGCCTGCTGCACGCACAGAGAATTCTTTGGGCTTGGGGAGGGCGGACCACAGTGCCACATGTGAACTTCAATTATGTCCTCACCAGCAAACGTGGTGGAGTCCAGACTCTAAATGAAAGCTCATCGAAGGGTTCTGGTGGGTCAGAATTTAAAAGTACAGATTGTTCTGGAACATCTAGGACAGTCGAGAGCTGTCCATGTGGGTTTTGGATTCCTCCAGTAGGTATCCCTTCTCAAGATGCTTCCCTTTGTCTCTGCAGGCCTCCTACCCTGAGTGGCAGCCCTGTCATCTCTGACATCTCCTTGATCCGGCTTTCCCCTCACCCCGCCGGCCCTGGGGAGTCCCCCTTCAGTGCCCCCCACCCGTACGTGAACCCCCACATGGAGCACTACCTCCGTTCTGTGCACAGCAGTCCCACACTCTCCATGATCTCTGCAGCCCGGGGTCTTAGCCCCGCAGATGGTGAGTGGGACCCTGGCTAGGAGGGCAGCTGGGGTGCTGCATGTGGGAAGTGGGCTGGAGGCTCAGGGGCTCTGTCAGGATCACAAGCCCCATTAACTCTGACACTGCTGATTCCTCAGACTGTCCCCTCAAGAGTGACTAGGAGGCTAGTCCAACACACCACCCCTGAACATCAGGTGTTGTAATATATGAATGGTGTAAGCTGCGAGGATTTGGGGACCACTGCTTTTAGTGCTTTTCTGCATGCATCATAATAATGATAAGATGGTACCTATTTATTCAGGTAGGTCCTGTCCTGGGTCATTTGGTTGCAGTAAATCCAGGTCCGCAGAAGCTGGTGTTCAGTAGAGGAAGCATCGCTAGGAGTCCTGCGTGAATTCCCAGAGCAGAAGGCAGAGCTGGTCATCTCAGAGAGATGGCATTAGCCACCAGGCCTGGCTCTTTGGCCCATGTGGTGCCATCTGGCTTCCTGGTTTTTGCTCCCCTTGCAGGTCAAGACACGTGGCCTCAACTACAGCCTCAGACCCCGTGGCTTCAAGGAAAATCACCAGTGGCTTTGTGTTCCCAGTTTAAATGCTCAACAGAAAGAATTGTTTGGCCAATTTAGAAATGAAACGCTCCTTGAAAACCCTATACAGGGTCGCTATGGGTTGGAAATGACTTGATAGCCCTTAACAACAACATTTCAGACTAGAAGGAGAGACACACTGCCCTTGAAAGACTGGTTGTCGGTTCCTACCAAAGCGTCAACCCAGTTTATTCTGGTTTTACCTCCTGTTAAAAAATTGCATTTCTACCCCAGATATACTGCATGTACATTTTAGCAAGATCCCCAGGCAATTTTTATGTATACATCTGGGGATCTTATTAAAATCTGCATATCTGAGATGGCACCCTCCCAGGTTTGTACACCTAATAAAAACCAGGACTCCCGTGGGTATATTTGGTTTTCAACTTCAGTTGCTTCCCCAGTGCCATGCTGCCTGAGGGCAGGCCCCTCATGACCTTTGCCTCTTCTCCTAAGCCCTGGGCAGGGTCAAGACAAGTCAGCCCGTAGGCTCTGCAGCTGTCTAGCCAGCTGGCTGCCTGAGTCTTTGGAAGGTTAGGGCTGTACCCAGGCAGGCCTGTGCGCTTGGCTGTGTATCCTCATGAATGTTCAGATATGAGCCTAACCTAGAGCAACAGCCTGGCTGCCGGGCACCTCCTCTCTCCTTTGAAGAAAGACACTGTCCATCTTGACACTGGGCTAATAATGTAGGGCCCAAGGCGGCAGAGGGGTGATTATTTATGGATTTGAGTAAATGGAGGAATTGGAGGCCTGGCTCTGGTCTCCCTCATCAGCAGAAACGTCCCCCACCTGCCCCTGCTAGCCAAGAAGGGCCCAGTGCTGTGAAATGTCAAGATGGGGCAGTATGGACCCTGGAAGGATGAGCAAGAGGATGCTGGGAGAGACCCTGAGCTAGGTGTATGTTGCGCTTTTCTTGGATGGTAAAGATGTAGCCACCGCAGATTCTGACCTCTTCCTCTCTCCCTCTCACCCACAGTGACACACGAGCACATTAAGGAAAGGGCACTGTTTGGCCTGCCCCCTCCGGGCACCAACCCCTCTGACTATTACCACCAGATGGCTCTCATGGCGGGCCACCCCGCACCCTATGGGGACCTGCTAATGCAGAGCGGGGGAGCTACAGGTGCACCTCATCTTCATGACTACCTCACTCCAGTGGATGGTGAGTACTGGGCTGGGAGATGCGCCTGAGTGGAGCTCCCCTGGGGAAGAGGCAGGGGGCGGGATAGAAGTTGTGCAGTGGAGCTGGGGAGGGCCCTTGGAGTTCTCAGAGGTATGGGGAGGCCTGACTGTACCCCACTCTCTCTGCCCTCCTCACCTCACATTTCGTGTTGGTTCTGGTTCCCCAGACAAAACTTTTGTTGGAGAAGACACAGTCTTTGTCATATCAGCCATTTGTGGATTCATCCCTTGTGTGTCGTCCCCAGGGTGGTGTTTAGCCCAGGGTTAGGCACACGATGTCAGCATTAAATAATACCTATTAGCTGATTATAATGCCTCTGTATGAACATATGCATGCCCGCACACTCACACATTCTCTCTTCATCTCTTATTCTTTCAACAACCCAATAAGATGTGTACCTGGGACCAGGCAGGGCTCATGACAGGGTGAGGCTTGAGACTCAGGTGAATTTGTATGCTGTACATATTAGAAACATGCTCCACTGTTCTTTGATGTTAGGTGCCGTTGAATCAGTTCTGGCGCATAGCAACAGAACAAAACACTGTTCTGTGCCATCCTCAAAATTGCTGTTATGTTTGAGACCATTCAATCCATCTCCTCCAGAGTCTTCCTCTTTTTCATTGACCTTGACTCTATCAAGAATGATGTTCTTCTTGGACTGGTCCCTCCTGACAAAATGTCCAAAGAATGAGAGCAAGTCTCACCATCCTGGCTTATAAGGAACATCCTGGCTGTACCTCTTCTAAGACAGATTTGTTTGTTCTTTTGGAAGACCATGGTACTTTCAATATTCTTCATCAACACCATAATTCAAATGCATTGATTCTTTTGCAGGCTTCTTTATTCATTGTCCAACTTTCACATGCATATGAGGCTATTGAAAATACATGGCTTGGTTCAGGAGACACTTAGTCCTCAAACTACTGTTTTTGTTTTGGGGGTGGGGCCTGGGCCTGGGCCTGTCTCTGATACCTAGGAATTGGAGGCTCTCTCAGCCCTAGTTGAAGGGGTGTGCTCTTTCTGCTCCCAGTTTTGGATATTTGCTGGTTTCAGAATACAATGCATCCCCGGATTCGGTTTTCTCAGGCTAAAGCCTGGGTAAGGGGGTGGATTTTCTCGAACTCTGAAGGATTCCTGGAGCAGATTGGGTTGTTCTCAACCCATTGCAATCCAAGGGCATCAGAATGGCCCAGCAGTAACTTACTTCAAACCACTTTAACCTAGAGCAAGAACCTTTGTTTCAGCTTTTTAAAAAAATATTTATAAATTATATTGGTGGATGTGATTAATGGTGCAGAATTGTACAATTATAAATGATTAGAATGGTAAAGGTTTTGTTTACTATATTTCACCACAATGAAAAAAATGTTTACAGTTTTGCATTTTCCCACTCAGCTTGGATGCCTGTGTGGCTGTGTTTCTTCCATGTGTCTTGAAGATACTCTTGGCCTGGGATGCAGTTAGAATGAACAGAGTGCTGATGCTCATGGCCCAGGTCCTTGCTCCGCTGAGCCCAGCCGTGGCTCTGAATTTTGGAGGGCCAGCAGCACAGATCTGCCAAGAGTCCTAGCAGGGAGGTTTTGTCCACACAGGGAAGGCTGCTGTGGGCCTTCCCAATACTTTTCTCTGGGTCAGCACTCAAAAGACAGCACTGTGCAGGGTGTCCTGGGGCAGTGGCCAACTCCGGGGACAGAGACCACCCTGGCAGAAGATCCTGCCAGTGCAACTGAGCTCAGTGAAGGTGTTGGGGAGGGGAACTGCCTGGTCATTAGAGGGACCACATCTCTCTCTCTCCCACCCCCTCCTCCCCCCACATACACACAGTCATGTGGTGACTGTTTACTGAGCACCACTGCCTGTCAGTTTGTGGTACCATGAGGATTGTGTGTTGCTGGGATGCTGGTAGCTATACCACTTGTATTTTGAATACCAGCAGCATCACCATGGTGGACAGGTTTTAGGAGAGCTTCCAGACTAAGACAGACTTGCAAGAAATGCCTGAAGATCTACTTTTGAAAAGTAGACAATGAAAAGTCTCTGACTCGCAAGAGACTACTGTCTGGTACGTGGCTAAAAGATGAGCCCCGCAGGTTTGGAAGGCGCTCACAATGCACAGGGACAGCAAGAGGGTCCCCCAGCATACCACAAATGACAGGACGGTGCGGGACCAAGCAACATTTCATTCTGTTGTACGTGGGGTTGCCGTGAGTTGGGGCAACTTGACCGTAGCTATTACTAGTATCAGTTGTGTGCCAGGCACATCTCTAAGTCCTGGGAATAGCACAGTGGGTAGAAAGCTCAAGCTCTGTGCTTCTCCAACCCTGGGAATAGCAAAAGTTCCTTGAATGGCAAGAAGATCCTCCTGCCTACCCCAGCCTCCCTGTTCAGTACTTCCCCTGAGTGTTCTTGTGCATTACAGCAACCACAGATTGTGGGCAGAGACTGAGGGTCAGACTTTCCAGAGCCTTTGAAAGTCAAGCTGAGGAGGGGAGACAGGCCCTTTCAGCAGTGAGGCAGACAGAGCAGGGTAGAGGACCTGGGGAGATGGTGATCTGGAAAGTACCTGAGTCCACATCCCACTGAGCAGCACCCCCAAAGCTTGTCATTGTTGTTGTTAGGTGCCATCACCTAATGACTTAGAGGGACCCTGTGAACAAGAACAATCTTGCACCAACCTCACGATCGTTGCGCTGTTTGAGCTCCTTGCTGGTACCACTGCGTCAATCCATCTCATTGGGGGTCTTCCTCTTTTTCTCTGACCCTCCATTTTACCAAACATGATATCCTGCTTCAGGGACTGATCCCTCCTGATAATATGTCTGAGTGTGAGAGACAAACTCTGGCCATCCTAGCTTCCAGGGAGCATTCTGGCTGTACGCAGATTGGCTTTTTCTTTTGGCAGTCCATGGTACTTTTAATATTCACCTCCAACACCATAACTCAAATGTATTCATTCTTCTACCGTCTTCCTTATTCACTGTGCAACTGTCACATGCATATGAGGTCATTGAAAATACCATGGCTTGGGTCAGGCACACCTTAGTCCTCAAACTGACATCTTTGCTCTTAACATTTTAAAGAGGTCTTGTACGGCTTTGTTGTTGTTAAGTGCCGTCGAGTCAGTTCCGACCCATAGCAACCATGAACAGGGTTTCCAAGGCTGTAAATCTTTACGGGAACAGAAAGCCTCATCTTTCTCCCGTGGAGCAGCTGGTAGTTATGAACTGCTGACCTTGCGGTTCACAGCCCGATTCATAACCACTACGCTACCAGAGCTCCCAGATTTGCCTAATGCAAGACATTGTTTTATTTTTTCACTGCTACTTCTATGAGTGTTGACAGTTGATCCCAGCAAAAATGAAATCTTTGGCAACTTTAATCTTTTCTCTGTTGATAAGAATGTTGTTTCTTGGTCCAGTAGTGAGGATTATTGTTTTCATTACATTGTGGTGCAACTTATACCAAAGGCTATGGCCTTTGATCTTCCAGCAACCAAGGTTGTATCATCTGCATATCAAAAGTTGTAATGAGTCTTCCTCTAATCCTGATGCCACATTGTCCTTCATATAATCCAGCTTCTGGAATTATTTACTTAGCATACAGATTGAATAAGTATGGTGAAAGAATACAATCCTGGCACCTTTACTAATTTTAAACCATTCCATGTTCCCTTGTTCTGTTTAAACAACTGCCTCTTGGTCTATGTCCAGGTTTCTCATGAGCACAAGTAAGTGTTCCTGAAAACTCATCCTTCACAATATTATCCATAGGTTATCATGATCCACACAAGCAAAAACCTATGTGTAGTCAGTAAAGCACAGGTAAACATCTTTCTGGTATTCTCTGCTTTCAGTCAACATCTATCTGATGTCAGCAATGATATCCCTCATCATTCCACATCTTATTCTGAATCCAGCTTGAACCTCTGGAAGTTCTCTGTCAATGTATGGTTAAAGCTGTGTTTGTAATATCTGTAGCAAAATTTTAATTGCATGTGATATTAATAATGTTGTCTGATGACTTCCACATTCCATTGGGTCACCTCTCTTTGGAATGGGCATATATATGTATCTCTTCCAGCTTGCCAGGTGGTTTAGTTTTCTTCCAAATTTCTTGGCATAGATGAGTGTGTACCACCAGTGCCACATCATTTTCTTAGAAGATTTCAATTTGTATTCCATCAATTCCTGGTGCCTTGTTCTTTGCCAATGCCTTCAGTGCACCTTGGACTTCTTCCTTCAGTGTTATTGGCTCTTGATCATGATTGAACATTGACTATTTCTTTTTGATGCTTTCTGTATCATTCCATATTTTGCCCATAAAATCCTTCAATATTGCAAGTCAAGGCTTGAATTTTTTATTCAGTTCCCTCAGCTTAAGGAATGTTGAGTGTGTTCTTCCCTTTTGGTTTTCTAACTCCAGGTCTTTGCACATTTCATTATAATGTTTGACTTTGGTTTTTCAAGCTGCCTTTTGAAATTCTTCTATTCAGCTCTTTTACCTCCTCATTTCTTCCATTTGCTTTAGCATTTCTATGCTGGAGAGCATGTTTCAGAGTCTCTTCTGATATACATTTTGGTCTTTTCTTTCATTCTTGTCTTCTTAATGACCTTTCATTTACTTTCTGTATGGTGTTCTTGATGATATCCTACAGCTCTTCTGGTGTTCGGTCTTTAGTGTCTAATGCATCAAATCTGTTAGTGAGATGATCTCTAAATTCAGGTGGGCTATGTTCAAGGTCATATTTTGGCTCTCTTGGACTTGTTTTACATTTCTTCAGCTTCAGCCTGAACTTGCTTATGAACAATTGATGTTCTGCCCCTGACCTTGTTTTGGCTGATGATGTGGAGCTTTTCCACTGGTCTCTTCACACAGATGTAGTCGATTCGATTTCTGTGCATTCCATCTGGTATATTCCATGTGTATACTTGTCTTGTATGTTGTTTAAAAATAGTCTTGCAATATTCTGTCATGAAATC